GGATTATCTCTGATGGGATGAACCCACCCTGGAGGGTCCAACCAGGACTGTCTCCCATGGGATGAACCCACCCTGGAGGATCCATCCAGGATTATCTCCCATGAGATGGCCTCACCCTGGAGGTTCCATCCATGACTGTCTCCCATGGGAGACACAACCTGACCATCACCCCCATTCCCGACCCCCTGCCCTGCTGGGGGGGAGAAGGGACACCGTGGGAGGGGGGAAGGTGTTCCTAAGCCTGTTTTCTCCCTCCCTCTTTGACTCTTCCCCCGTCAGCCATAAATTCCAGCCCCATCCCCATTTGGAGCCTGTTCTGATCCGTCCCCGCCCTCTCCCAGCCCTTATCCCAACTCAGGAATCCTCAGCTGGTTTTTTCCCCTCTCTCCTCTGCCCAGCTGCAGAGGGGACAGTGAGAGGGGTGGTTTTGGTGGGTCCCTGGCCCCGGGGTGACCCCCCCTGAGGTGGTACCTGGGTGAAGTTGATGGGTTTGTCTTTGGTGATGCAGTCGGCGTATTTGCAGGCGAACATCCCGCAGTCGCTGCCGTTCATCTGCTGGGGGATCTCCTGCAAGGAAAACACACATTCCAGAGGGGAAACACCCACTTCCAGAGGGCCCATCACCCCCTTTCCAGCTGCCAGGGGTGAAGGGCTCAATGGGAAGGGCGCCTGTGATCTCTGAGAGCCAGGGAATGGTTGGGTTGGATCTCGGGGAAAGGTTCTTTCCCCCCTGAAGGGGCTCCCCAAGGGCAGCAAATGAAAGTTCATCAAATGTCATCAATTCCAGGATGGTTTGGGTTGGAAGGGAACTTAAAGACTGTCCAGTTCCACCCCTTTCCCAGCTGGAAGCCCCTCACCCCTCGGCCCATCACTCCCTGTCCCAAGTCCCTCTTGGAGCCCCCTGGGAAGGAAAACCCTTTTAAATGTCACTCCCAACCCAAACTGTTCCATGATCCCATGGAAATAAAGAGCTGGGAATGCAGGAAAGGCTGCTCAAGCCTGGAATAATTGAGGGGAAAAACACAAAATCATGGAATGGTTTGAGCTGGAAGGGACCAAAAGCCCATCCTGTCCCATTCCATTCCACCTCCCACTATCCCAGGTGGGTCCAGCCTGGCCTTGGACACTCCCAGGGATGGGAAATCCTCATGGGAAACCCATTCCAGGGCCTCCCCACCCTCCCAGGGTGGAATTCCTTCCTGACATCCCACTTAAAACCCTCCTCTTCCAGTTTAACCCCATTCCCCTGTCCCAGCACAAAATCTGCCCACGTGGAATAAAAAAAAACCCTCTCCCAAAATCTGGGATTTGTTCCCTCCCTCCCCTATCACCACAAACAACAAATTCCTGCGGAAAACCAGCCTGAAAAGATGGAGGACAAGAGCAGGGCCCAAGAGAGGCCCCTTCTCCAAACCCACCTGGCTCTTCTTGCTCAGCAGGGCCCAGCCATTGGTGTCAAACTCCTTCCTCTTCTTGTCCAGGCTTTCCTGCTTCAGGTACTGCCTGGAGGAACGGGACAACAAGGAGAGCTGGTTTAGAACAGCAGAGGGGGGGGGAGAGCAGCCAGAGAAGTCCCTCAGTTTACCCAAGTTTTGCCCATGTTTGCAGAGCTCAGGCAGGATGGGAGCCCAATGTTTTCGTCTCGGCCCCGGCCGCGCTCAAAAAGGGCTTTGTGGAGTCCAAAGGGACCGAGCACGACTTCCACAACTCATCCAGGAGGGAAAAAAAATCCCCCAGTCCCTGCCAGACCAGAGTCAAAGCCACAAACAAATCAGGGGGAGAAAATTGGTGTCGTGGCAGAGGAAAAGCTCAGCAGCTCTGAGGGCTCTGTTGGTGTCCTGTGACCTCCCGGGGATGGAGGTGACAGGGACAAACTGGTCACGGTCTCAGAAGTGTCCCTGGGTGGGAAAGGGCTCCTCTCCAGCTGCTGGCACAGGTCAAACCCTCCCCTGAGCCCACAGCAGAGGGAGAAGAGCCCCAGGGGAAGGTTTCACATCCCAGCTCCCACCCCCAGGGCCTGGAGGACACGGGAAGCTCCCGGGGGTGTCGGCCCGTGGGCTCTGCTCCAAGAGGCTCCCACCAACTTGGTCTGGATTAAAACCCTGGAAGTGGGGGGGGTTTAACCTGAGAAAGCTCAGGGACTCTGCCAAGCCCCTGCCCAGGCAGGTGCCACCTTCTTTTCCTCGGTGGGCACAAAGACCTTGAGCCATTCCCTGCACTGGGAAGTGCAGGAAGGAGGACACGGACTCCAGGGGGGACTGCAGGAGCCCCAGGAGGGGAGGTGGTGGCCCCAAGATGTTCCCAATGGCCCTAAAGGAGCTGCTTTCTGGGGGCTGCTGCTGTCACTGAGCTCTGGAGACACCTCCTGCTCCTCCTGGAGACCAAAAAGAGCCCCGGGAACCATCCCCTCCACATCTGGCACCTTCTCAGAGGAGCCTGAGCCTGAGGACACGAGGTGGTGGCCCCAAGATGTTCCCTAAAGGAGCTGCTGCTGTCACTAAGTGACACTGAGCTCTGGAGACACCTCCTGCTCCTCCTGGAGACCAAAAGGACCAGGAAGACCCCCGGGAACCATCTCCTCCATGTCTGGCACCTCCTCAGAGGAGCCCAAGCATGAGGTCACGAGGTGGTGGTCCCAAGATGTTCCCAATGGCCCTAAAGGAGCTGCTCTCTGGGGGCTGCTGCTGTCACTGAGCTCTGGAGACACCTCCTGCTCCTCCTGGGGACCAAAAGGACTGGGAAGAGCCCGCGGAACTGTCTCCCACACATGTGGCACCTCCTCAGAGGAGCCTGAGGACATGAGGTGGTGGCCCCAAGATGTTTCCAATGGCCCTAAAAGAGCTGCTCTCTGAGGGCTGCTGCTGTCACTGAGCTCTGGAGACACCTCCTGCTCCTCCTGGAGACCAAAAGGACTGGGAAGATCCCTGGGAACCATCCCCTCCACATCTGGCACCTTCTCAGAGGAGCCCGAGCCCGAGGACACGAGGTGGTGGCCCCAAGATGTTCCCTAAAGGAGCTGCTGCTGTCACTAAGTGACACTGAGCTCTGGAGACACCTCCTGCTCCTCCTGGAGACCAAAAGGACCGGGAAGAGCCCCGGGAACCATCCCCTCCATCTCTGGTACCTCCTCAGAGGAGCCCCAGGAGCCCCCTCGCCGCCGCGGTTGCGCTTGGAGAGCTCGGGAAGGGAACTCAGGGGATCAGATGCTGCTGGCTCGGGTAGAGGGGTCAGGAGAGCGCCTGGCACAGAGAGGGAGGCAGGTTTGGCTGCCAACAGGCAGAGATGTGCCATCTTTCGGGAAATCTGATCCGCAGGGACTTGGCCGAGCCGCGTCGGTCGGTGCCAAGGGTGGAGGGTTCAACCCGCTGCCCCGGGGCCGCTCAGGGGGATCCTCTCCCCCCAAAATCCCAAGAACTGCCCCAAGAAAAGCCCTCCACGGGCTGCAGGACACCCAGAGGCCACCAAGGGACTCAGGAGGGGCAGAAGGAAATGGTTGGTAACGTGAAGGGGGAGGTTTTCGGGATGAAGTGTCAGGAATGGGGGGGTCTCTGTCATGGCAGGGGCCAGACCTGGTCCAGCCAAGCGTTTTCCACGAGCCTTCCTTAGCTGGACACCCATTCCCAGCCCTGCCAGCAGTGACTGCTCTGCTTTGGATGGGATGAACCCAGTGTGGGGGGAAATCTCACCCCCAAAAATCCCCCTCTCCCACCTTTCCACTGTTCAGGAGCAGCTCCACATCCCCACCTCTCCCGGAATAAATAAATCCTAATGGATAATGGATGGAGAAGAGGCTCCTGGGAACGAGCTCGAGCTCGGGGGTGAAGGATCTGAGTCACGACAAGACCCACGGGGAAAATGGTCATTAATTAATTAATTAATTAATTAACCCCCAAAAAATCAACCCTGGCAATTAGTGGGGGCTCCAGAAGTCGCTCGAGCCCTCAGCTGGAGGAAGAAGAGCAGGGAGCCCGAAGGGACCCACAGGGATCACAATTCCAGCTCCTGGAGGAACTGGGGGAGGCAGAACTGGGCTGGTGCACCTTGAGGAGGAAAAGCTGGGCAGGGATAATCGGGAAGGACGATCCAACCCCAAATCTGCCCCCGCCACGGGCAGGGGCTGAAAAGAGGATTTTTTTCCTTTTTTTTGCCTTCTCCAGGGCTCACAAACACACAAAGAGCCGGGCAGGTGCCTCAGGGAATTGCTGGGATCGGCTCCAAGGTGCAGCCAAAGCAGAGGGCGGGTGAGGTGAGAGCAGGAGATGAGAAGATTCCCAGATTTCACGGCTTTGCCTCCGCTAAAATCCCAGTGTTCACCTCGTTTTTAACAGGCTGCTTCCTGCCCACTCCCAAACACTGGAGAAACACCTCCCCCCCAGAAAACCCCACCCAGGCACCTTCCTCAAAATCCTCTCTCCAGGTCTCACTCCGAGGCAAATCCCGTGGCCCTGGGATCGCTCCAGACCCTGCCCTGGGCCTCGGCTTCCCCCCTAAGCTCTGATTTCCCTGGAATCCTCTCACTTCCCCCGGAATCCTGAGGCCTTTAGGAAGCTCTAAAGATTGAAAGCATGAAAGGGTCACTAACCATGAGTAGGACCTCCGTCCCTCCTTCCAGGTGTGATCCTCCCACTGCATTCAACCAATAAAAGCCTCCTAAAATGAAACAGAAGGAAAAGGATTACGGCCAGGGAAGTGGGGACCTGGAATTCTGGGCACCTGGAATCCTGGATCTCTAAGGACCTGGAATCCTGGATCTCTAAGGACCTGGAAT